ATGAACGTGTCAAATGTTAAGTTCGACGGATATAAATAGCGCCATAGGTATCATGATTTGATCAACGAATGAATAATGAATCATACAATCATCATCAATTAGAGGAAACAATTGAACCAATTTAAAAATATATCATCAACAACACACAAATATCATAAATGGACATATACGGGTGAGGGTTACATAAGCACATTTGAAAAAAAGGTCAAAAAGAGCGAGCTGTAACGACAATTGAATGATTAACACTGAATTTACCATTTTCAGACGACGTTGATTATATAAAAAGTTGAAAATTCAATAATCATATCGCAGTAAATAAGCAAATTATTAGATGAGCTTAACTCGACAATGAAAACATCAATAAATGGAAAAAATGAGTGGGGTGCACCAAATGATAATGATTAAATCGGAGCTCATCAATACAAAAAAATGAAATGATTCAGATTCATAACATTCAGACGACGAAACGAAATGAAGGGCACTGCTCCCACCAGCAGTTTTGTCCTTCAATAGGGCAGTGCAAAGCATAAAGAGACAATTCATGCGAAAACAAATCACATCTGGGAGAATATTCGGAGACAACGTATAGATATTCAGATAGACAGCGAATATTCAGATTGTTGGATAGAAAGACTTTTTCTAGAGATATGCATGATGGACGAAGTTCGAAACGAACGACTTTACGCCACATAGCGATAGAACCTCATCGGGAATTGACGATCATGAAATGCTGCTAACATATTCTATGATTTAACATCGCATAATTGCTTGAAAAATCAAGTTGTGGATAGGGAAAAAATAAGTAGAATGCAAGTAGAACGATTATTCGTACTCCACTTTTACGTATCATATCAACAAGATATTAGCAATCAACAGATTATTAATGATTAAGAGAAGGACTGAACTGGCATTGATAAGACTCTAGCAGAATGATGCAGTGGGATATAGCTTCGGGAAGCAGAGCGCAAACCATATAAACTGTACGCAAATCAAACGTTCAGGAAGAGACATCGATTCATTCCATTCAGCGATACATCAACTGGGAAACACTTCATAAACATACTCGCATTCTAAGAGAGACGATTAATTTCTGACAACATGCACGATATTTGGGATTGAGCCGTCACGCAGATTACATCAAGCCATTACAAAACAATGCTTGATTANAAAAAAAAAACAAGTGATATTGATGTGTTTTTAAACTAGATTGACCAATAATGAAAGACATTTTCTTTTGAACTATATGTGTGCGAGTCAGCCGAAACTTGCCGATAACAGAAATTCACTTCACTCACGACCACTTTCTCTAGACTCATTGCTCCCATGCCATACGTAAAGACACACGTCTGACACACACGTACACTGCGTTAGAGATATATCGACGTCCTGAAAACGTGAAATGAGCACGTTCAGGCCATGGCCGCCATTTGAAGCGGATGACGGTCGGCCCTTTTCATCTTACGTTTACAGACGATGATATGGCACCGATCAGACACGATGTACGCATGTGTTAAACGTCAAATGCAACGCAACTACTACCATTGGCAGCAACCCTAACATGCATTATTCACTTCATCAAATTTCATTCTAGGCTCGTTATGAGCACAGTACATCTATATATACAATTGAGCGCATCTTGGAAAAAAGTCAGTTCGATGAAATAAGTATGTATTAAAGAGAAAGGACGGAAGAACGGACGAAGAGTAAGTAATACACGGACGCGAACTGATCCTATAAAACTAATATACACATCATATATGAGCAGCAAACGATGAGTATTTTTTATCAATCTGGAATATTGTAAAAATCGGCAAAATGCAACTTATCAAGCCATCAACTTCTCAAAAAACAACCTCCACAAATGTTTTTTGATCATTTCTTCCCTTCAGAAGTTTTCCGTCTCCGACGATATCCCATGAGTTCCATTCGAGAGCATTAAAGCATAAATGATACCCCATTCACGGACGAATCAATGTTGACATTAGGCTGGATAGACAATAGGAGAAAAGCATTTTACCATCGAATAACACACTTCAAACAATAGTTCAAACATGAGAACAAATCAGTGTACTCTGTGCAAATGAATCAAATGCTTTTGAGGAAACAAACTCATAAACCAACAATAACTGATGATAGTGTCTGAAACATTGGTAGTATTCGAAAAAATGCAACACATTCACAAAATTACAACCATATTAAAATTTCAAATATCCACAAAACTATAACTGCAGCTTTTTTTCCAAGCATTTGATTTTCTCATATGAATAGACTTACAAAAANAAAAATATATAGATAAACGGTCACATCTTCCCATTAGCTGCATAAGACGTTGCATTTTTTCTGCTATCACATTGAAAAAAATCATTTTCGAGAAACAGAATTTTCTATTTCTCAGTCCTCATCCTCATTTCATACCACAAAACAACAACAATAAACATGCACTTAAGTACAACCACTCTCTTACAACTTCGATGAGATTTCAGTTGCTTCATGAACAACGGATAAAATCACGCGAAACAATACAAATGAAAACAATATCAACAAAATATCAACAAAATACAAAAGTACTGAAATATTATTACTGTTATTATTCATATCTGGTTAAAATTATCAGTCAGTACCAAATCAAACGATGAAAATAGAGAGTAAAGCAAACTTAGCTGATATGGCCCGATAATGGATGCATGCACATGTATAAATGATGAATAATATAGCGATGAGGACACGATTGATAAGATTTTGAAGAATAGCAGAATGAGATTAGGATTATATCGTTATTATTAAGATTACTGTAGTTGACAAAAACACTTGCATATTGAGACGAATGAGCATTCACACATATGCATATTGGCCGAATGCGTCGTACAAACTGGAGAGAGAAAAAAAAATGTGGAGAGATTGCAAAGTTTTCAAAGAATATTCAACTGAAGAGAAAAGACTGAAGACGCTTGGAACGTTGGACTGATTGCATTGTAACACAGACATTTTATGGTCACATTTGGAAAATATGAATGAAAAACGATAATTGTACTTCAAAAAAATTGCAACAATGCGGACACAAGCGGAATGAAGTTATGTATCGGAAGCAGCATTCACACATCGCTTTGTATTCTCGCATAATGGCCAACATACAATGTGTCAAAAAACGTAAAGGACGGCCGCGTTAGGCATTAAGAATGCGAAGAATTGGATGACACGAGTCAAAATCTGATAGGTAAAGTAATTTGGAAAAAAAAACAGAAAACAAAAAGAAAGGAATTCGAAAGTGTAGATGATAGCATGCGAATACAATGATTTGGAAAAAAATAGTGGAACGCACTCTGACAGTCATTCATAAATCGCATTTCAAATGATACCATGATAATGGACGCGCATCAGCAAACTGAGATGAACAATCATATATCACTGACATTCGTTGAAGTAGACGCAATTGATGATAACAACCAAACAATCTACCAGTAAATAGAACAAGTTTTCAGCGATGCAAATGACAACCGATTAATTGAAAACAGACTGATTGATTCAATGATTACTCAAACAATTAATAGCTAATAGCTGTTTAAACAATCACTGATCAATTTGTCACTTTTCAAAAAGTGTTTCTGATTCTAATCGAACATTTCCCAACCTAAAATAAACCTAAAATTGAAGACGGTGCAAATTCCACAACTTGGTAAGATGCTTGCAACTATATCAATAAATTATGCACTGGAGCTTGACATGAGGGGGGATTTGGTGGAGACTGGGGGGATTTCGCAAAATACATTGCTCAAAAACCTCATTGCTCGCCGAAAATATCTTGAATGGGCTAGTTGATAAAAATTACCCAATGAACTGATCAGATATAGTGAGAGATTGGAGAAACAATGAAAAAACAAAGCGAAAATGAAGAAAGAAAATGACAAGATGTTCGAAAATGCATCAGCAAATTGTGGTATTATTGCAGAAAAGATAACAATTATTTAATGATCGCTAAATGAAGAAGAAGCATTACACGAAAACCAAATGAGTGATTCAATCGAGTCAAAGCAATCAATAAATTGTAGGCGTTGAGTGCTTCACGGAATTCAAAAGAGGTACACGACAAAAACGGATACAAATGAGAATAAAATTCACAAAAATATAACTATGTAAATATGATCAATGATAGTCTACTGCGGTATTTGATTGATTGGTAAGCAGTCAGTTCCCTCTTGCGCATTAATCACATACAGCAATTGCTGCTTCTTCGAGACCATTTCTTACACTTACAAACGCTTTTTTGGTATGCTGAAGGGTGGGCGAGAGACAATTTAATGACAACCCTAATGAGAATCTCAGGACGTGATATTCCCATTAAAAGTGATATTTGCAACATCATTCATGCATGTACGAATGGAGAGAAGTGCGCATGGAAAATAACTACCAACGACGATAAGAAGTGATCGTAATGACGAGAATGAAAGCAATATTGTGGTGGTAACATTTACGAATTCATTACAAAGAAAACGATTCCAACTGAAGCTCAAATAGGAAATTTGATTCAATGTTAAGCAGCGCATAGAACGAATGCTCACCACGAAAGACGGATGAATATGATCGATTGATTGTTAGTTGCGGCCTGTGCCAGCAAGAATATTTACAAACAACCAAAAATGAACACACACACACACAAACATTAACTGACATTGAAAACACATACACTCGATCGCCGGAATAATCCCTCTAGACTATACACCTCCTATGTGTGCAATTTTCCTACTTTTCCTCTTACAACTTCGACAGATTGTAATTAAGATTTTGAAAAACCAAACGATACTATGGAAATGAAAGGAATAGAAAACTGAGGAGTATATGTGCTTTGGCATATAACACGGTGAGTGAGATATCATCGTAACTGACAATTGATGAGGGAGGAACGATTAGCAAATTCGGATATGAATCGCATTTGCATAGTAGTGAATACATCCAAAAAAAAGAAGAAGATTGCGGCGACTGCATCGTACAATCCTTCCGACTTCTCATGCAAAATACATCACACTATTCGCATCTGGATGCACTTGTACGGCACGTGCCATATTACTCAGCGTCGTATCTTCACTTGTTCCGGACGGCTGAGATCCTTCACCACTAAAACATTTCCGTTAACTTCCATTCTCATTCACACAACGAAGCTTCCAGCATGAGCCACATTAATGTGAAAAGATGACAATAATTCCTTTTAGAGTTATACGAAAGTAGTTCAAGATATCCAATATAACATACCTATCATGTTCACGATCAACCAGATGATATCTGGCACGGAATGCGACTAAATGAGCATAGTATGCAGGTGCTGGAATTGACACGGAACGTGTACATCGAACGTATGTATGGCACATTTGATAGGTGAGTTGTTGCAGTTCATCTGCCGTCAGATTATTATCGTCCCACAAAACATGGTAATGCGATGGACGCGATGTACCCTGGAACAATTATTTATCTCTATCTTTCGAACAAATTTCCGAGTAAAAATTACAAGTATTAAGCAATTATCATCAGAAACCTCTTTTGCCTGTTAAAGGGATTAAACGAATCACGAGTCAAGCTAATGCTTATTGTCTCACCTGTATACCAGCATGTGAGCAGAGGTAGAAATCAAATTCAGTTGGATGCGTGATACCGACATCAACAGTCGTTCCAGGTGGAATATTGAATGCTTTTCCAACCTGAAATACGAAGTCACCAGTTAAAGACGACTGAAAATTGAACGCAAAACACCGAAGCAAATTTGAAAAATCATAGCAATGCTAAATGCAATAAGTAAATTATGATATATCCAACGTGTTTACCAGTACGCAACGTAGGCACGACTTTTCAAAGACCCAAATAATTGATGTGGTTTAACTGTAAGGCAATTGTAACGATATTCACCTGATCCTTTTTGTCGACTGCGAACAATCGCGTATGATGTCGCTTTTGTACAGCAATAAATGTTATTCCGGGCTGATAGCCCCTTTCCAACATCATGCACGCCTCACGCATTGCACGTAGTTCATGTTGTAGCACCTAAATTTTGAAACTGTCACAAATTCATTAGAACGTCTGTAGAGTAAGAAATCTTTCGCAGAAGGCACCAAAACATTCCAAAAATCGCAAGAATTGCACGAGAAATGCACACAAAACAACGAAACCAATGTTGCCTACATTGAAAAATTGTCCCTCAGAAACGCCGTCTCGATAGACGATAATACGAGTTGGCTTGAAGCGTGTATTACGATAGAACTGCACCAAAAGTTCACGTACCATGAACGTCAAATCACTGATTATTTCCTAAAAAAAATATACGCAAAAATAAACCATCCGGGCATTCACTTCGATTCGAGTCGAATGAAATTATAAAATATTCGGCAATCAAATGACAGTATGCACCACAAGCGAAACAATAGTACACAACTGAACGGAATAAACACTAACTTGACGATGTTGTTGCACCCTAACAGTTGCGGCGTATCTAGACGGATGTGCATCCATGCTTCCAACCACAGCAGCTATCGACGGTTTACGCGAGTCACCCGCTGGTGGATGCGTTATATCACACCCCAAAAATATCACTGAAATTCTCCGTACCACATTAATTATCACGACTATCGCTATGATCACAGAGTCAAAATCTTCTTATCTGTATGATAGCTGATTACATTAAGTAAGGGCGAACTAAATGTGAACCTGGTTCGTTGAATATTCTCGGACGGACGGCTGGCAGAAGAATTGAGTTCACACCACCCAACTTCACGTTCATCTTCAAGCACAGATTCGACAGAGTCTGCGGTGTGGTTTTGATGACGTTTTTCGCTTGAACACATTGTGTCGCTATACCCAGCACTGTGTCACCAACTCGTTTCACTTCCGCTGAAAATACACACTCCTCAACACCGTGCTTGCTGGAACCCACCATTCAGTTCTCAGTTATTCAACGAAGCAATCGNTTTTCGTCTAAGTAGAACCATAACAGTTGCACACCTATATTACTAACACCTAATCATTTGCATTAAATGCCGTGAATTGTTGCATTTGCACATGAGCATGAGTACAATAGAAACAATCAGAAACAAATTCGGAACATGCAAAAAATAAAAACGAACTGACCGTAAACGGGTGTTTTACCAGGCAGTACAACACATACGAGTTGAATACCCAAGAATGTCTGTTTGAGATATTTGAACATTGGCTCTACTTGATCCACTCCAACTGCGTACTTGCAGAAGCACGGCTGACCCATTATTGGCATGCCAGCATCATTTGAGATTCGTTGTAACTGGGTTGTGAAGTTTCTGAAATGGCAATTTACAAATTTCTTCCCGACCGCTTAAAAATAATTAATATCTCGCACAAAATACTCAACAGAAGAAAAAAAACACATTGGGACATTCGCTAAATTCATCTAACAATAAGCTTCATTTATACACTTCATACTGAGATGTGTGATAAATACCTGAGGTCATTCTCTTTGACATGTTGTTGTTGAGCAAAACATGCGATTGCCCATATTTTCACCTCAATACCCGTATGGAATTGCTTGCCACGCATATCCCATACACCTTGATTTGGCAGTGCTGTAGCTTTCGTACGACCACCATACAGCAGTTTTGGTGCATTCAAAACACGCCCTTTCACCTGCACAAAAACAACGAGTTAGGTAATTTATTGAAGAACACTTAAAAAGCGAAGAACCCGATCTTAACTCTCTAACTGCCCACGTTTGAGCCTCATGGTCACTAAACAAAACCTTTCCTCTTCCTGGCCTACATGTATCAAAACAACAGAAGACTTAACAGGTGCCGCTATTTTATCGCCGGCGCAAAATACCTTTGACATCGAAAGAGAACATTAACGAACCTCAGTCATAGCCGTATTGATTGCGATTCCAAATTCATGTGCGAATGGATCAGAATTAAATTCGGCCTTTCGTACCAAATTTGAAATCTCTCGCTCTCTTTCAGGTGCCGATCGTGCAGTTGCCTGAAATGATTCATGTGAACGAGGTCTAAGAATGATTTTTTGATGAAATAAATGAAACAATCTACTACAAATCCAACGAGAGCACCGCTTATTCTATGTTCATAGAATTTTACTCGACAAATGTTATTGGCTTCACTGCTCAGCTGTCTAAAATAACTGCAAAACTTAGGTAAGTCCTTGAAGTTGAAGAAGATATTCAACACAAGCGATAACACAAAACATTCAAATTCTAACGACAAACCTTAATCATAGTACTCGTTTGTGTATCGGTCAGCTTCTTAATGCAACGTTGACCCGGTACAATATTGCAAACTTCTGGTGGTAAGTAGGTATGTTTTTGCTCTTGTCCAACTTGAAGACATGGCAAATGAGGATATTTCAATTGCATTCGATATTTGTCGAAGAAATACTTCGTTACTGTACACTCAATTGTTTGACCACTATCCAGTTGAAGTGGGAAACTA